AAAAATGAAATATATCAGTAAGCAATTTTCCACTTAAAACAATTGTTTCTCTAACACAATCGTTTATCGTCATGTGCACTAATGATATTCATTAGAGTTGTTTTTTAAGTTTTGAATAAAATATGAATTATCTCAAATCATTAGAATAATTCAAAAACAAACAAATTCATGTTAGACAAGGTTAGAAGTCTTGATGAATTGTTTCCTCGACTACAGTGAATAGTCATATAAAATGAAAGTTTAACTGAAGGTTTTTGAGGATGAGAAATCGAATAGTACGAGTCATTTTTCGAAATTTTCAAGTTTTGATTTTTTAGTTACGAGAAGGCTTTTTCTAACAAAATAACAATATTTTATCAAGTTTGACCATGTTGAATATGGGTGTGAGTGTGAGTGGTGTGTGTCGATTTTAGTCTCATACATCCACACCCTCAAGATTGTTAGATTCCTTCCTTACACATTTAGTAAATATATCAAAAATTATCTTCACTATGTTCATATAGCTTGTTGAATTGGAAGAATACTATTTTCACTATTTTTCTTCATATAGTAAAGCAAAGTATTTGTTTTAATGATTGGTTGACTATCAAACACTTTCTTTTCTATCATAAAACATAATTTTTTGTATAAAAGTACATCGTAGGTGAAAGAAAGAAGAAGAAGAAGAAAAAAACGTGCATGTATATATCTACGACGACACAAAATGCTCATGTATTTTGTTTCTGTCAATAACAAGAACAACAAATATGTCAATCAAACGATACAAAATAAAGATTCATCTGTATTTATTTTGATTATTCATATAATATCTTTCAAAAGAGAAAATAATTAGGAAGTAAATGTGTTTCGTCTGGTTATTTGAGATTTTATTTTTCTGAGAATGAATCCTATTCCCAAAAGTTACACATTCCGGAATCGCTCGACCCATCCAATTTAACACAAATCAATTCCGGAATTCCTGGCATACTATTCCTGCCTATTCCGGAATAGGCCGAATTGGATTCCTACACATTCCGGAATTCCTTGCACCGATTCCTGCCTTTTCCGGAATCTCTCGCGCTCGATTCCTGCCTATTCCGGAATTGTACAAGTTATGCTGCATGTAGAAATGATCTTGCTCAATAATCGATTCGATTCCGTTGCGGAATTCCGGAATTCGTGCACATTCCGTGCTTGTGCATCGAGCGAGCCTCCCGCGCACCCACACTGTTGTGCGTGCCCATCGACCGAGCCTCCCGCGTACCCACACTATTGTGCTTGCATACCGGCGAAAGCTCTCTATGCTAAGCTTTGCATAAATATCAATAGATCGAGCCATTCCGGAATTGGTAGGAATGTGCAGGAATCGAATGCAAGGAATTCCGGAAATGAATGTTGTTAAGTTGGGTGGGCCGAGCGATTCCGGAATGTGTAACTTTCCGGAATAGGATGACTGCTCATTTTTCTCAAGTTTTGAAATGTATATGTTGGGGTCAAAATTGGAATTGGGCCAAATTTAGAATTTGACCAGACAAAATTGGAATTCTAGTTTTGACCAGGCAGAATTAGAATTCCAATACAGACCAGTATTTTTTTAGACAAAATTGGAATTCTAATTTTAACCAGACAAAATTAGAATTCTGTTATAGACTAGTGTTTTTTTATTGGACAGAATTGAAATTCTAGTTTTGACCGAACGAACTTAGAATTCTATCATATACTAGTATTTTTTTGAACAGTATTAGAATTCAGATGAAGATAAAAAAATTCGATTGAAATTCGAAGTTTATCCGGTCGAAACTAGAATTTTAATTCTGCCCAAAAAAAAATATCAGTCTATTTTGGAATTCTAATTCAGCCTGGTCAAAATCACAAATCTAATTTTGTCTAAAAAAATACTGGTCTATATTGGAATTCTAATTCTGCCTGGTCAAAACTAGAATTCCAATTTTGTCTGGTCAAATTCTAAATTTGGCCCAATTCCAATTTTGACCCCAACATATATGTAGAATAATTTATCTCTTTCAATATTTTTCCTAATAAATACTATTGAATAAAACATCGAAAAAAACTTGAGTTATCTCTGGAAGATCGTTGTTCTGCGTACTGGAATCGATATCTTATTGCGCTTTCTGATTCAACAGATGGTAATCTTATTTTTGAAAAAGCGAATCTATGTGAGTTTAGAAAAAGTTGGTTAGATAAAGAATTTTCTATTAGATGTCTAAGGAAATCAAAAAGATTTTTTCCTAATCATTCCATATTAGAAAAAGTGGTTACATGGCTCTCGTCTATTCCGATGAATTCTTCAGTTCCACATTTTGAGATGCAAGATATTGAACTTCTTGAGAATTTTCCTGAGTCTTTTTGTTAGCCTTAAGTTGTTTGTTGTTTTTTCTTAGTATTATCTTTATGTTAGTTTGTCACTTTAGTTTATTTTTTTTTCTTATTTCCATATAATACTCTTTGTTCTTTCATAACTCTATGATTTTCTTGTAGTCGTTTATCATATTATATTTGATGTGTTTTCTGTCTTTGTCTTTTTCTTTTCTTTTGTACTGTTAGGATCGAATGATCGCAGTTATTATGCAAATAAAAAAAAAAAAAAAAAAAAAAAAAACATCGAAAAAAACTTTTTCAAGACAAACATTCAAATGATGTGATAGTTTATAAACCAAAATTAATGACTATTCTAATAAAATATTACAGTAGTCGATATGAATCTTCTAGATAGTAATTTAGTTTATATAACTTACAAAAGTATATTTATAGAAAATAAGCAATTCTTTAATTATGTAATTATTTATTCTTTTATTTAGTATAAAATATCCATTGACAATGACTTCAATTTAAAAATAATTAAAACTCGAAATAATACTTTTTTTCTTCCTAATATTTATATATTGAACCATTTCGTTATATATGATGATATCGAAATTAATAATATTTACATTGATAAAATAGGAAATCATATAATGATTGATATTATCAATAATTCAATATTACTGGCTCTTACAAGAATCAAATGCATAAAGCATAAACAGATAAATCTTCTTCTTTATTATTACAAAACCATTTTGAAACTGAGTTGATCAAGCGAGAAGAAGAATATTTTCTTTCTCCACGAAGTCATTTTATTTTAAAAAAATAGCTATTCATATCCATCCTATTTAGATACAAATAGGAGTGAGAGAGAGAGATGAACAGAGGAAAATAAAGAGGAGAAAGAGAGTGATCCATGTGAATACTTCTTACTTCTTGTCAAAGCGAAGAAAAATAAAGAAGATGCTGTGATACACCTTCTTTCTAATTGTGCAAGAAGTAAACAAAAATGTAGAATAAAATAAGAAAAAGAAAGATGCGGATGAACAATATGATGGTCATGTGGGAAATAGAAGTGAGAGAAATAGATCAAAAAAGTTAATTTAGCAACAGCAAACCTTGGCACATGATCTTTTGACGGTGACAGTTTTCTTTCGGATGACTTTGCAACATGGTTTGCAGCAGCACACAGTTTTAGTTACACAACATTTTGGACCGCAGCAGCAACAATCACAACAGCAAGGATCGCAACAAGAGCAACAACAAGGATCACAACAGCATGGATCACAGCATGAACCACAACCGCAACCGCAACCGCAGCCACATCCACAACCGCATCCGCATCCGCAACCACAACCACATCCACAGCCTGGCATATTAATAGTAATAATGTAGTGAAGAATAAAACTAGAGTAAGATGAGAATTGATTTGTGAAACTATGAGAATAGATGTGGGTATATATATAGAGGGAGAGAAATGAACAAAGTTGTTTTCAATCAACAAAACAATTCAGAACTGTTCTCGCATGACAATATTTAATATGCATATGTCATAGAAAAATACATGAAGAGACATACGTAACTCTTTGTTACCATTCATACAAATATAACAAAAACATGAAATTTACACTTGTTGCCAATGTTTTTCCTTTGATTTGTTTTGATAGTATAAAGAAAACATGTAAATTTAATTTCACATTTACCTTGTGACCACAACTCTAAAAGGGTAAATGTCATTTAATACACCTTTTGATGAAAACAGTGCATATAAAAAAAAAACTATTTTTTTGATGAAAAATATTGATTCTTACGTTGTAGTACACACATGCTGTAATATCATAAAATTACGTGAATATAATAATACAACACAACATAAGAGAAAAGAAGTAAGAAAAAGTATTTAATATATGAATACAATGAGATTTTTATTTCTTTGATTGTTCCTGATTTTGATGGATGAAGATTTGGTATGATCAATTGAGCTAAACCCTGTGATGAAGAGCTTGCAGATCAATGACAAAAATGATCAATTTACATGGAATATACTGTTGAAATTAAAGATGTTTTTTTTCATGTGAAATCATCTGTTTAGCAATACTCATAGAAAGATTGATTCCATTTGTTTAAAAAGATGACATGAATAGAAGAACACTGTAGAAAGAGATAAATATTGTATTTCATCGACATAAGAATTAATCAAATCAGTCACGCATATTAAGATATTCTTATTTGTATGTAATCATAGCTCGCCAACGAATATCGATTGTTGACAAATGAGTACGGATGTGGGCGAGGGTGTACTGAAAAAATCTTTTGATACACAATCCTGTTCAGCATAAAACAGGTTTTGAGATTTTAAATTAATTCGGAATTCTTTTTTTAGTGCGATTTTTATTACCATCCGATACTGATTTGCTCTTTTTATCGTTTGATCTGCTGGTACGAACAATTGCATCTCAGATGAGTCTTGTTTGAAACATTTCTTTTGCTTATAAATAATTCATACTCACATTCTCAAGATTTAGAAAAAAGAAAAATTCTTTTTATATTCTATCATTTCTTACTTATGGTTATTAACATTAACTGCTGACTTTATCTTTTATTTATCAAACTCATATGTAAAATATCGTTACATTCGTTTTACTGCAAATATTATATTGCTGACAAACACACACAGCATCATTTACGTATTCTTTCAAATGGCAACATCAAGTAATGAGCTACTCTGTACTACATGCGAAAAAGTAAAAGCAACATTAAAATGTGCAGGATGGTCACAAGATTATTGTTATGATCATTTGCGAGACCATCGACAAGAATTAAATGTACAATTAGATCATATTGGAAATAATTATAATCATTTTCGACAACTATTTAATAAATATATAAATAATTCACAAATACATGCTTTTATTCAACAAAAAGCAAATGAATGTAGAGAATTATTGACAAAGCATATTAATGAAAATATACATCATACTGAAATTAATTTAAATAAACAAACTGATCAATTAAGTAATATTGTTAAAAAAAATGATTTAAATGAACTTAATGAAAAATTAAAAGAATTAGAATGATAACTTTATTAACCATCTAATATTTCAATTCAAGAAAATTTTACATCATCATTTACTAACGAAATAACAGTCTTTATATCTTCTGGTGAGTCAGTCAAATTTATCTCTAATACTTTGAGTAAACTATGTAAGAGTTTTGTAGGTTGTTAATGTGAATGTATGTAGTATATTCATGCAACATTTTTTTTACATAAGAATTTCGTAATCGTTATATTTTCTAATTATAGATGAATCTATTGATCATAAAAAAGAAACCAAACGATCGCTCAATTAGAACAACGAGATATATTCGATTAGATCTGCAGTCAATGGAAAATTTGTGACAGCAGAACGCTGGGGAGAGCGTCCTTTAATTGCATGTGCGGATAAAGTGGATTCATGAGAAAAATTCAAAATTCAGATAGTTAATAAAGAACTCAATCATTCGAAATACTGCAGATCTTTGGGGAAAATTTGAAATTTCGCCGTTTTGTTAATGATAAAATTAAGTATTTAACGAACTTTGAATTTATTTATTTGTAATTAATCTTGAGGGTGTGGGTGTATCTCATTCATTCACACCCATACTTACCCATACTTGTCATTCATAATCGATAAGTATTTCTATTAATGTTATTCATGAAAGTGCTCGTATAATAATCATCCTTGTGTGGTATAACTTTTTTTCTTAACAGCCTTGCACCTTATTCTCCTTGTATTCTTGGTAAACTTAATCGATAAATATTCCTCTTAATATTCTTCATGAATGTGTACATATAATTGCCAGACTTGTGTGATGTTGTTCTTCTCCTTAACAGCCTCGCACCTTTCTTTCCTTACATTTTTTTCTCTTTTTTTTTCGCAAACATTAAAAAAATCCTTCACTTCATCTTACGAATCAATGTACTTTTAAAACGACCTTGTAATAATTGTTTGCTATGAATCGATCGTTCTCCTATAAATACAAATGATGATGGAAGACTGTTGATTACCAAACAAGCAGAAATAAAATAACATATTTTAACGCATCGTCAATGTCGTCAACTGCCGAACATGCGGAGCACTCTGATGATGGACATGGTCCTCCAACAAAAGAGGAGCATCAAAAATGGAATGCCGAGTACAAACAGAATTTTTTGGATCAATACCGTAAACAGCATAACGATGCACAAGTTTCAGCTGAAGATGCGTGGCAGGTGTATCTGACAGCAGAACAACAGTGGCATGCCAAGTTGAAGGAACTTCGTCACGAACATCGTCAGAAACATCATCAGGAGCATCAACAGGAACATCAACAAGGCCATCATCAAGGACATCCTCAACATCAGCCACAGCACGGTGCTCCTTCGGGCTACTTCGATGAGACACACACACGTATTAATAATGAACTGCACCAAGAATTCCTCAATGATTTCAAGGCCACTCATGCTGCCGCGGACACTATCAATGCTGAGCAGGCCTGGCCACTCGTTGACAAGGTGCAGCACAGCAGACATGCCAAGTGGGAGGCTGAACAAGCCAAACATCGTCATAAGCATCAATAAAAAGAGCACTGACAATACTATTTTTCTCATTAATTAATTTCACATAAAGTCTTATTCATTCTTAAATAAATACATAACTATAGAAAAATTTTGTCAGAATTTCAGTTCTGCTTCTTACAACTTTAAGCAATTTAACGTGCTATTAAAGTGTAAAAATCTGCGCCTTTTACGATTTTATTTACGTTATAATTTTAACGCGTTTGATTTCTGAATCCAATGAATTGTTAGAGAAAATTCATTTAGGAGCATGTTCCAGAATTACTATTCTTGGTCCAACTACAACTTGGCAAGCTCTATTCAGTTGTATTAATCAGATTTCGTATAGCTCGAATGACGATTTTTCGACCCATAGATGGCGCTATAAAAATCTGATTATAATCGACTTAAATCTTTCAAATCAACGATAATTCGATTTTTAATGAGAGTTATATAATTATAATCAACATTATAATTGATTTAGAAGATTATTTTTTAATAAAAAATGGAATTATCGTTGGTTTGAAAGATTTCAGTCGATTATAATCTTACATAATGAGATATAATTTGACAATTTTTCACTGGGATATAGAGCATTAATTTCTCTATTGATTCGTATCATTTTTGTCTAGTTTACCTGAAGTATAACATTTATATAAGATAAATAGTATGATGAAGTACTTTTTCATTAGCGCAAAATTACTTAAAATTTGCAGAGTAGATGTGAATTTTCTTCTCAGATTCAACACGATTTCATTCAATATTTCGTATACCTTTAACTCTCATAAAATTCTTTAATATAAAACCATTTTTACTGCAATTGAATTTAGTCTCAAAGAAATTGAATGAAAACTATACAGTTTGATAGAGTAATCAATGCTCTATCTAACTGTATAAAAATAAATAACTTCTTAACTTTAGCCAGAGTTCAGTAAATCGAAGAAAAATAAGTAAAAATAGGTGAATCATGCTATATGCAATTGTCAATGTTCTTTTAAAGTGGATCTTTGATTCAAACTATCGATGCACCGTTGACTGGAGGAACTTCTTCCTTTTTACAGCAGCTCATGATCTTCTGGCGTTTGGAAATAAGAACGACGATGACAATAATTACAAAGATAACGTATCTTGATATTATAATTCCTAGAGCAGTGCGAAACAAATCTGCTTCACAATAGGTAGTCGGATTTGTATTATCAGTATTTTGATAGCCATTGTGCGCAGCACCGAACACCCATATATTTCCAGCAATAAACCATGCAAAACAGAAGAGATTCACGACGATGATGATGAGGATAAGAACGAAAATGAGTTTTCTTGCTACTACTTGATTGTACTTCTTGTAGATAACACGAGAAGTAAGAAAGGCGAAAATGCCGATTAATACTTCAAAGAGCATCACAGATCCATGTACAGTTAAGAAGTACGCAATCATTGGTTGAATTGGACATTGACCGATATATTGGAGACCATAGCGAAGTTCCACAATTCCAAAGACTATGCCTATGATAATAGTCACGACGTGCCTTATCGAACCATAGTAAGCAACTGCCTTGTCAAGACGCTGAATTCTTTTCTGTTCGGGAGTATCAGTGACTTCATCAATAGTCTCACCATTGGATGTTTTAGATTGCTGCATGACGAAGTGAGCTCGAACAGAATATGTTAATCAGAATGCGGTTTTGTTTCTTGCAGCGCTTTTTATGTTCCTCGCAGAGAAGCCCTTCCAAGGAAGGCACCGAAATGATGCGCGTTATTCATACACCCACAATCAACTTTTTTTCTCATTGACATACTTTAGTTGTGAATAGTAACATCAATGCCATAATCAATGTCCTTTTCAAGTTCTGTAAGAGTAACAGTGATAAAAAGCGCATGGCATTATATAAATAAATTCGCGTCCTTCTCTGATCATGCATGTTGAAAACAAGTCAATACAAGCTCTATAATAATTGCTTTTTGTAAGGAATCAGATCGAGAACGCAAAAGGATAAATAGAATGAATGAGAAAAAAACGCGTACAATTACGCACAATGAAAATCTTTAACCTAATCGATAAAACAGACTGCGGATAGCAAGCAAACTTCACTATATGTGTAGATGTGTCTATAAGAACAGAACTTCAACGCAAATGTGGATATGAATGTGGGTACCAGTTAGCAAAAGATGGACACACACCCGACATCCGACACATTTAATAATAATTATTTTAAAATTAAATCAAAATAAAGATAGATGTACAAGCTAGCAATTAAATAATCTTTTTTGATTAGAACGTCATCAATTAAATACTTCTAAAAATAATCAGAGACAATTATACAATCAAAAAGATATACTCATATCACTACTTACACAACTACTGATTATTATCTATATCTTCACAACATCATTTATCACTTCCATACACGTAACAAAAACATTAAAACAAATTTAAAGCAAAATGAATAAATAAGTTGTTTGACGATGATATTAGTGCTTATGAACGTCGAAATATTACACAAAAAACTAAATAAAATAGTTATTTAGCATCATTTAACATAAAACTGCATCATCTCATTTATTGAAAATAAAACAACAATACAAAGTATTTTCTCAGTTTCTATATGTACGGTTTCAATTAGAATCTAATGAGCACTATTTGATTTTTTTTCTGCCTTAAACAATATAAAATATGTGTATTTGATGATTATGGTTATTAGTGACATAGACTTTTCCTTCACGATCAAATGATATGTCAATGAAAAGTTTGACTTGATTGTTGTGGTTTTCATCAGCATGTGTATCTCTTTTATATAATTGTGTGACTCGATAACAAACGACATAGTTATTTTTTGGTTACTGCTAATACTTATCTGCCTCACAGTCATTTTTGCATTAAAGAGAAAAAAATCAGAAGCTAACTCGATAACGTAATTACATGAAAAAAAAGAAACTTTCGTCCTAATTTTTGTTCTGTTATTTGTTTTTGCTCTCATAACGCGAAATAAAACTCAATTTATTAAGAATGTTCTTTTTCTTAATCATGATAATAGGATCATACGCGATGCGTCATTGCTAAGTACAAGAGCGAAATAAATAACAAACATACAATTATGCTTCAGTAGTTGTAAAAGTACGTAAAGGTTATATGAAATAGTACATTGATAGAATGAATAAAAATGAAAAATCTTCGTATTGCTTTCTAATCAACATCAGGTAAAAAGCAAAATTTGATAATTCATTTCAACGAATAATATACGTATATAAAGAAAGTATCGTTGAGGGTGTGGGTGATAGTTAACAAAAGATGGACCCACACCCTCAAGATTAATCGAATATGCTGTAATTTTATACTGGAAAAAATCGTGATTTAAGCTATGTTTTGACATAATTTGGGTTGAGATTATTGTGCAATCTGATGACAATACGCTTATAAAAAACGTTAATCTACAATCCGAACGTTGCTCTTTTAGATGGTAAAAATCGTAGCTCTCTCTCTTGTTCGTATCAAAAACTGGCCCGTAACTTCTGAACCATCATGTAAGACAGATCAACACTATGCAATATTTTTTCTAGATTAACCATTCGTAGTTTCTGATTTCCACACTCATTCAATGAACTGAAGTTATCTAATCAAGAATTCAAAGTATGAATACAGATGGTAATAGAGAAGAACGCATTGAAGTAACATCATCAACAAATACATCAATTTCATGATCTCAAACAGCGAGGAAAGAAAAAGGAGTTTTTCTCAAAGAGTGATTATATTCAAATGAAATAGCTTTGAAAATAAAGTATGAATCAACAAATGAGAACCCAGTAGAGTATTGAGTGCTAGCATCAGCAACATACTTCGAAGAACAACGCGTAAATTATCATTCAAATTTTACTTTATTAATCAGAGAGTCTGTTATTACAAAACATGTACACATAGGTTCCATGACAATACAGAGTAAAAGATGACTTATATTGAATGAATAACTGGTATTTTTTTCCATTTGTAATCTGAAAGAGTAATAAAAGAAATAAAAAGAAAGTTGTCGATAAAAATAATATTGTGAAGAATATGAAGAAACGACAAGAAAAATATCCTAAACATTAACAATCGACGGTCTTCTTTTATTTTTTATCGCATTCCACCAGCCCTCTTCCAATCAAAGGTAGATGATGCAAGTGAAGTGAAAAAGTACACAAAGCATAAAAAAAAAAAAGAAATAGTATTTGTTTAAAGTCAAACGAAGCGAGTATTGCATCC